CTCTCTCTCTCTCTCTCTCTCTCTCTCTCTCTCTCTCTCTCTCTCTCGTCCCCATTCCCCCTTCAACCGAGTGCTCCAATAAAGTTGTGATTTGGGAAGGATTCTCGATTTCGTGGTCGTCCCTGCTTGCTGGTCAAGGAGTACGTCTCACATCTTCTGATATTTGTACTGTAGTCTTTGGTCTCTCAATACACTTTGTTCTATAGTCCATTTGAGAGAGTGTGTGTTCGTGAACTTGCTTTCTATCATGTATCTTTTTGCCAACTCTTTAAATGCCTCCACTTGTAAAAGGAGAGGAAAAAAAGAAAAAAGGAAAGGTTTGTGACAACCTACCAAACCCAGCAACACTTAAAACGGGGAAAATTATAAAGTTAAGTAAAAGGGAGAAATTAGGTAGGTAATAAACATGAAGTTGAAGATAATTTGATTAAAATCAGTACCGCCTCTTTATGAGAAGCGACTCTGAGTTGGCTTCAAGTTTTCCAACAATCACAGGACTGAAGACACCTACATTTCAAGTTTAGAACTTCTACCACGCAGCAGATAAGACTGAAGAATAAAGATAAAAATTGAAGAATAGAGAGACTGGAGAAAGAAAAATGGAGGATATTTTTCTATTAATAGTTTGCTTTAACATTATTATAAGTGCACTGGTGTCAAGGTGTCAGATCCCAGGGAATTGGAGGTACAAACAGTTTTGAGCTGCCTTGTGGGTGCTGGAAATTGAACCTGGGTCCTTTGGAAGAACAGTTAGTGCTCTTAAACATTAATCCATCTCTCAGGCTCTGAGAATTTTTTTGATACTTTACCTTCCTTGTGTACCTCTTAAACACTCCCCTAAGAGCAGAGAGGGTGCTAGTGAAAGGCATTTTATTTCCTATACTCACTGTATGCCCATCTTTGTGCTTAACCTAAACTCTATCAATGAATTACTAAAGTCAAATCACAGCCAGATCTTATTCTAAGAATTTGGGGAATATATTAACATTTGTCTTCTCGGGCATCAGTTCTTTCCTCAGTCTTGTGCTCGGCCCTTCCATTCTGATTTCTGCTACTACTGAGGACGTCACTAATTATGTTAGTCTTTCCTGCTTTAAAGCCAATATAAGATTCCAGTACTTCAACCCAGACAGACATTCAGCTGGCAATGACTAGACCGGGAAAGTTCCATAACAGCAGTGAAATGAACGGTGACGGATCTACTGTCATGCTGAAACTACATCATTCTCTTGGTTGACTTCGCTGTAGTTTGGATGAGGTTTTCATGTGTCCCCTAAGGCTTCCTGGTTGAACTATTAAAACAATGGGAAATGATGTTATTCAGAGCTAGCATATTCTAGACATGATTAGTACTAATGATACTGGGTTGGGGCATTATGATGAATGCTTGTTTCTTTAAAAAAGAAAGCAAAGATGACCAGAAGATGGACAAATAAGTATACAGGTCTTTTGGCTTGCCACATGATTGTCTATGTCATCTAGAGACTCTAGTAGAAAGAATAGATGACAATAGATGAGGTCTATCAGTCTTGGATCTCTGAGACAGAACTTTTTATTACAATGCAGAGTCAATGTGGACAACAGATTATATACCTACATAGGGAAAATGATGGCATCTTTTTTGACTGAAGTTACAGTGATTTTTTTAGCATTCAAATAGTTTACTTATTAATTAAATAAGTTTCTTAGTTGCATTGACTTGTTTTATGTCAGCTTGACACAAATTAGAGTCATCAGAGAGGAATAAGCCACCATTATGTAAATATTTCCATACAGCAGGACTGTAGGAAAGCTTTTAGGGCATTTTTAAAACTAATGATTAGGGAAGGTCCCAGTCTCTGAGTAGGTGGTCCTGAGTGCTCTAAGAACGCAGGCTGAGCAAGTCATGGGAAACAAGCCAATAAACAGCAGCCTCTGCATCAGCTTCTGCCTTCAGGTTTCTGCCCTGCTTGGGTTCTTGTCCTGACTTTCTCTGATGATGAACTGTAATGTGGGAGCTTACTTTGAATAAACCCTTTCCTTCCCAAATAGCTTTGGACATGGCATCTCATCACAGCAATAGTAACCTTAACTAAGACATTAGCATACATCAATTTTAACTAATAATGGGATTCATTATATTTGCTTACACACACACACACACACACACACACATTGATATTGATATTTACATTTTCTCGTCCCCCTTCTTTTTCTGCTCATCCTTGTCCACGTCACAATTATTTTTACCTATATGGTCATGTGTTTGTGTATGTGTTTATCTTAACATTTCACAATATAGGTATCCCAAGCAGCATCAATACCATGATGAGTAGGCAAACACCTTCTCATGGATAGTTTAATGATAGTTCAGTTTGACTCATTACCTGCACATCTTCTAGCAAGAAAAAAGAATGAGTATGTAAATTTTAGGAAAGTATGGACTAAATTAAAATATAATATAATTATTCTTTGGGGGAAGAGGAATGTTTTTGAGTCAGATTCTCGCTGTTTGCCCAGGTTGGTTGGATCTATCTCTGTGTTCCATTTGTTGGGGTTGTAGTCATACCTCGAACTTGCCAGTTCACTTCCAGTGTACCACTTCCAAGGGGATTAACTGTGACCAAAGCATAGAATTTTCAGTTCTGTTTTAACAAGGAGAAACTTGTAAGGGGAAGAAAAGAAGTACTTATTTACTGTGGGAAGATTGCTGTGTTGTCATAGTGATTTGGAACCTGGGGGCATGCACAAATACTAGCAAGCACAGAGATAACAACTCAGTTATAGTGTGATTAAGAGAAAATATTAGCTACCAATAGCCTCATGTTCAAATCCTTCCAAAGCATTAGTATTCAACTTAATATATAAATGATTGCAATGAAGAAGAAACAGTACAATAAGCTGAATCATTTAATGGGATTAATTTCTGATATTATTTTTTTTCGTTTGGTTCTTAACTGCTCTCTTCATTTTTCTTTCCCTCTCTTCTCAGTGTGTTTGGTTAAACTCCTGGTCTTCTTACACCTTTGATTGGAATAACCCTACTCCTGCCATGTGATTGATGTTAGGAAAAGAAACGCAAGACAAAACATAATCTCTCTAGGAAATTCCTGAACTCTGACCTTTAAAGTCATAGAGTTCAGCAGTTTTGGAAAGTGACCTCGGCTGTTCTCGTTTCCAAACAAATTTTCAGATGTTATTTGTGTCTTGGCTCTAAAGACCACATTGCTAACCCATAGAGCTCAACCCTTTAAGTTATTTATTTTATCGCCCTTTATTTTTTTTGGTGAGTGAAAACCCACATGGAAGAGAGTATATGCATTATGTGAGAATGACATAAAGATGCTGTGAGAGTTTTCCTTACAATTTGTACACTAACTAATGTTTAATATTTTCTTCAGTTAGTTATTCTGGAAATGAAAGTTGCAGAAAAATTCTTTAGGGCTTGCAGTTGAGTGGGTGTGTTAGGTTATCTTAAAATTTGTAGAGCAATTTCTGTGTAATCAATAATTCATATAAAGACACTGTTAGAAGATATATTACAAACTATTTAAAATCATATGAGAGAGGCAATTTAAGAATTTTACATTTGTCTCTCTGAAGTTTAGTGATTTAATCAAAATCAAAATCAAATGATTTCTTCATCCTTTGCAGATTGTAGGAAAATCTACAGCGAATTCTACATGCAGGTTAATAAATACATTTTATTGCCATCTGTAGTGCAGAACAAATTTACACCAAGGAGCGCAGCTTTCTACACCCTTTTTCTCCTAAAGGCCCAGCTTTAAAGATCCCAGTATGGTCCCAATTGGAAAAGCACATCTGCCCATATAAATTAGACTGACAGCTTCCTGTGGACCAAGAGGAAGTTTCTAACCTAAAGATGGCATCTAGTCATGTCCCAAGTTAATGTTAGACTAAAAAACTAAGGGTATAATTAGTTTCTAAGTGCTTAGGACGTGTTATTAAATGTATTGTGTTCTGTTTCAAGTAGATTATTTTCTTCTTTGTGCATTGCAAATTTGTTTCCCATCTAACAATAATGAATTATATCCAACCCTCATTAAACCAGTGAGTTATCTTGTTATTTGGGATACAAGGTCTCAAAATTGGCACTTACCTTAATTTTGTATGCTCACATAAAATGACTACAAATTAATATTCAGTTTGTTATGTAGTTGTACATAAATACTTGAATGTGCTAGTATAGTTTGTGTGTATTTTATAAAATATGTGCCTCTATGCATGTGCTGCACATATACATGTACACATGCACTGTACGTTGACCTGAAATTGAGCTGAATTAAAGGTGAAATCCAGGCAAAAGAAACATCTAGCATTCCTGCAAAAGCATTTGCCAGATGCTTCTGCCTCTTTCTCTACTTATTGCTCCTCCTTTATCATCAGTGAAGCACTCAGGAAACAAAACTGCTCAGCTGTCAGCTGAGTTCACAGTTCACAGTCACAAGTCATGCTTTGTTGGGGCTCTAATCAGTTACTCCCTGGGGTCTATGCAAACCTGTGTTGGTGAGAAAAATCTTAAGGCAGAGGGTGTTTAAACGTAGGCTCTTGACTCACCACAGAATAACTTAAATTCTATTAAAGCACCCCTCATTTAAGGAATATAAGTAAACATTAGGCCACTGTGCAAATAAGCATTGAAGCACACTGTGAACTTGTGTGTTTTAAAGCAGTAACCTGGTTTCATCACTGTGTTCCCATCTTCTTTCGTTGTCTCCCTTTAAATGAGAAGTTAGTGTTTTTCATTTGTGCTCCAGCCTCCTTAGGCAGCAACAAGCATTCTCTAAATACTGTAATTTCATTTTTTCCTTGAAAAATTCATACAGGTTTGGAAACGGTTTTCTTACAGAAAGACGTTAATTTTTTTTTCTTATTGCCAAAATACCATACTCTTTACCTTTTGACTCTTAGGAATTACAGCGTTTGAAGAGACAGTTTTAAGTATTTGGTCTAAGAAACTTAGAGCTTATTTTATTGTTGTTTGTGTGTTTTTTCAAAGTATCCTAAAGATAGCTTTAGGAGGAAGGTGTTTTCAATGATATTCCTGACACAATAATGCATCACTTGCATTATTATGCAAATGATTTATACCTAATAATAATAAATGGCCTTATTGATTTAAAGTCCTTACTATAGTGATGACAGACTTTTTTGAAGGCATTATAGAGCTTCTCAGTTGGAAGAGTGATGGTGTCACTGGGACAGGGTCTGCTGGAAATTGTACAATACACCTACACTAGTTTAATTACAACACCAATAAGCAAGGATCAGTCACAGCATAAGATCAATGGTTGAGGAAATTACAAATTATTTTCAGATGTCATTTTGAATCTGACTCTGTTTTTGAAGAAATATATATATATATATATATATATATATATATATATAATTTTGACATGCAAGAAAAAAAAAGAGATGTAGAAAATGAGTACAAAGAGTCCACAACATTATCAGAAAATTTCTCTGTATGTAGAAGTACAGTGAGATTCATTGAAGGCTACAAATGATCAGTAGTGAATAAACTGTTTGTATTAACTGTCTTGGAGAAGTATAAATAAAGAGGACATTGAAAATTTTTATAAAAATTTAAAGACATAAATTATTTTACACAATAATTAATTTTATTTATTGGTAAATTTCTACTTATCTAATGAATATCATAATTTCCTACATTAGTTTGACATTAATTTAAAATGTTTGTTATGGTTACATTTTTTTTCTCTCTCTTTCCTTCAAGTCAGAAGAGTTGTGTTGTTCATGGTTTGAGAGGCATCAGTTCATCTTGAAAGAGAGGGACCTGCAGACTAGACCAGCTTCTAGTATGGTGTCAAGAGGCAGATTAAAGTAAACACAGGAAATGACATGGGAAGATAAATTCTCTTAAGACATTCTGTGGTTATTTGAATGAGAACAGCATCCGTAGGCTCTTATGTTTGTTTGATAATTTGATGCCCTGTAAGTGGAAATGTTTGAGAAGGGTTAATAAGTGGAACCTTGTTGAATGAGGTGTGTCCTTGGAGGAGGAGTACCACTGTTGTGGGCTTAGGAATTTCAAAAGCCAGTGCCAGGTCCAGTGTGTCTCTCTCTCTCTCTCTCTCTCTCTCTCTCTCTCTCTCTCTCTCTCTCTCTCTCTCCAGAAGTTTCTGTCCCACCCAGTCTCACAGTTGTTCAATCCCAAAGAAACACACAGAGGTCTACATTAAATACAAACTGCTTGGCTTATTAGCTCTCATATCTTATGTTAACCGATAGTTCTTGTCTGTGTTAGCCACATGGCTTGGTACCTTTTATCAGTAAGGCATTTTGATCTGGTGTCCTCTGTGTCTCAGTGATGACTACATACTGAGTCTTTCTTCTTCCCAGAATTCTCCTGTTCTGGTCACCCCTCCTATACTTTCTGCTTGATTACTGGCCAATCAGCATTTTGTTAAACCAGTACAAGTGACGAATCTTTACAAGGTAAAAGACCATTGTTTTACAGCACTCTTTCTCTCCTCTGTAAGTCCATATCCCTCTCTCCTCTCTCTGCCTCTCTCTCTATCCTCCATTCTTCTCTCTTTGTTCTCTGCCTATCTTTGTCACTGCATCTGTCTCTTTCTCACTCCCTGCTGGCTTGCTGCGTACAGACCTGGATGTAAAGCTAATCTTGGCAGCTTCTGCTCCGGTGCCATGCCTGTCTGCTTATAACCATGATGATCGTGGACTAACCCTCTGAAGCTCTTATCATGCCCCTTATTAAGATACTTTGTTTTATAAGAGTTGTCTTAATCATGTCGATTTTTCACAGCAGTACAATAATAACTCCACCTATGCCATCCTATAGAGACTCTATTCATGGATTAATCCACTATTAGTTAGGTTTATATCTGGATGTGCCCCCATAGACAAAACAACACAGAAACTTGTTTGTTAATCCCCTAAGCATCTCATAGTCCAACAAATCTGACAATATTAATTATCACATGATATTATCCCATGTCTCTTATGGGATGATAAGCAATTTTCTAGGTTAATTCTGTTCTTCTCTGCTGAAATATGTACTAGCCTGTTCTAGAAGATTTTAAAAAGAATTCAAATTAAAATATATTTGCAACATTTCCTTTTTTACTTTTTGTCCAACCTTTCTCATGTACCTTTCCTTTTGTTTTACCTCAAATTCATGGCCTTTGGTCCCTCTTTAGTGGTTGTCATATAAATATGTAACAAATCCATTATTTTCTATATTATATGTTATATACATTCTAAATATATAAAAATAATCTTCTCATCTTATGTGATGTTACATGTGATACATACAGGGCTGACCACCTGGTTTCAGATAATCAGTTTGGGGGCCTCTTCCCTGGAGAAGAATGTCCTCTATGTCTCTCAGCATTCTTTAGTTGCCTGTAGTTCTTTTCCTAGGACTGAGATCTCAAGGGATTTCCCCCTATAAACTTACCTTGTTTATTGGTTTTGTGTCTGTTCAGGTTTTCATTAAGCACCCATGTTGTTGAGAGTTTATGAGTGTAGCTTCTCTGCCAGTTCTAGGCCACGAAATCTCACTGCAAAAAAGTGCTTCCCATAACTCTGTGGTTGTCACCATCTTTCCACATCCTCTTTTTCAATACTATTTGATCTTTTGGTGCAGAAGTCATAATACACATGTATTATCAATAGGT